GCAGCATGACGATAGGCTGCTATTGAAAGTCGTGCCAAAGTTTTTAACCGATCCTATTTTTTGGCGCACTAAAACAAGACGCTTTTCCATGCCTCTACACAGTCTTCCACTCAGAAGGCAAATTTTCCTGCATTGAGGGAGGCTTGGAAGAGAAGACGTAGATGTTCGGCCAATTCTATGATTACCTCCAACAACTCTGCTGGTATTTCATCAGGACCTGGCGATGTCGCTTCTTTCAGCAGTTCTTGTTGAACAATAGCTTTGATGAGAGCCACTGTGTCAATTTTCAGGACCTTATCCACACTATATTTATCAACGCATGAGTCGTAAACAACTTGCCTCAACACTTGCGGCAGCAGCTTATGGCAACAAACGGGGACGTCGCTCCGGCGGACACCGCTTTCGTGGCATCGGGTGTACTCTCGTCCGGTCGTCAACTTTTTTCCGTTATTCTGCGCAGAATAAATTCTCTTCCCCATTGGTGTCCAATTCGTTTCTTTCCATGCTGGACCGGGTCAGAAGATCGTAGTGGCTAGGGTTGTATCATCGGCTTTAGCAGCTGTGATACGGGCTCGGCCGCGCCATCCACCTGAACCCTCCCTCGCCTCCGGTTTTCTTAACTCTCTCTTGACACCAAGCTCAGGCGGGGGAGAAGGGTAGAGTGAGGTAAATGCAGCACAAGTCTACACTCACTATAAACTAATTCACGCGCAAGTCACCGTGCCTGTTTCACCTTGCTGTGGAGCACACGGTGGACATCGTAGGATGCGACGGACGATCTGTCACCTCCGTGGTCGATAGACCGTCAGGATGTCGGGAGCTTGTGGCCCTGGTATTATGCGGGTGAGCTAAATTGTCTCAGTTATGCGTGCGAGCCTTCCCATTTTTTCTGACACAAGCAGGCCATATTTGAAATATACAAGCACATCCTCACCTTGACGTCCCATTATATCCCGTCTGAACAAGTGATGACCGGAGAGCGACTTTACGATCGTCCACGTTCACGGACAGCCATGTCGCAGTTAAAGATATGACATCTGGCAAGGTCTGGCTTACGTAAATCTTAAGCTCATCTAATTTAGATAGCAGACTTTGCGCATTGGTATGTAAACATTTTAGTTTTTGCCTGTTATAAGCCGGCCATGTTGCCACGTTTGTCCCTATGAACCGTAATGGCCGCTCGATTATGCGGCTGTTGTATATAACCAGGTTTTCTTTTCCACCCTGTCGCAGCCTGAGCTCCTGAACTAACTGATGGCGTTTGAGCCACTCCAGCGGTGCGTAATCCGGCTGAAAAACTCTCTGGTCGGAATATTTTGATTGAAAACGTCTTTAAGGGGATAAGGTCAACCTGCTCTTCGAAACACAAAACAATTTTGAGGGACCTGGGAGGCAGGGGATGGAAGTGTCGGTAGTGCGCTTTCCGAGCCTGAGGGCTTTCAATACTGAAACTTCTTCGTTGGTTGAAGCATTGAGTTCAGAAGATCTTGGGTCGAGTCGAGATATGCTAGAACTCGTTCCTTAGGTGCGTTTGCGTGTGCCTCCGGAAGCCCTTGTATTACCAGACAGTGTTCTCGAAGTGGCCTGTCCTTGTTATGTGATGATGGTGACTTGTGAGTTTCTGGCGAACCTTTCATGACGATGTTCTGGCTGCCATCCACTTTGGCGACCTTTTCTTGAACTAACGGCGCAGTGTCCGTGACCATATGTCCCTATCTTTTATATCAATAGGCAGGATATCCGCATCCGTCGAGACTGTGTCTACTGGGTCGTTGGTGATTTCTGTTAACTGTCGTGGGGCACCTTGTTCCCACTGTGAGCCGCTTCTGGCGTGGTGCATTTGTTAGATCTTGCTTGTTCGAGACGAATTGGCACTGGTCTACATGGAGTTCCTAGTGCACTATGTTCCTGGACAAATCCAAAGTATCCGTTAGGCATGGGGCCAATGCACCCAATATTCTTTGGGGAGGGTTTATCAGTGGCGGTGGCCGGCGGGTTCAGGCGCTTTCTTCGTGCTTTAGGGGTTGGGAGATCGATCCCCGCTCTGCGGGATTGTTGGACCGTGCACTTCTACATTTCCCATGCCTCTGTGCTTCAGAGTCCATCACACAATATTCTCCAAAAGGTTGGCAAACGCAGTCGGCCACAATCAAAGCAGATGTCTGAAAAACTTCAGACAACAGAAACTTGATGAAGTACTTCGATACAAGGGTGCAACTAATTATAGGTTTTTAAGTGCAAATCAGCCTTTGAAGAAGTTGCTCATTCGCTAAAAGATCGGTCTCCATGGACTCGCATGTAGAAACTGGTAATAGTCGATGCTTGCGTTCTGCGAAATTCTTGCAACTGTTTGAGGATGATAATATTGCTGACTCAATTTCTGTAATTCTCTCTTGGGCAAACTATTGAATTTACACTTGTCAGAAGTCAACTGGAAATGTATATACTATCTAAATAGAAATTCCCCTCGAAAGGAACTGACAAGAGTGCTTTGACGGGTGCCCAACCAAAGCCTAGAACCTTAAACTGTTTACAGTAAACTGGGATATTTTTTGTGTCATGCAGCATTACAGGCTCGTCCAAGTAATCCTGTCCTATTGGCAGCATTTTGGAAAATTTAACCGAACGCCTCTCGAGTTTCAGCACTCAATGTGCGAATTACTGTGGATTCAAGATCGGCTTTAGGTGCGGCAGTGGTGCACCCTAGTTCGACGTGTGGGTTTTTCTAACTCGCAGTAGTCAGGTTCTAGTCGGATAGCCTAACTCAGTTGTTATAACTTGCCAAACCACGGGCGATTTGAAGGCAGTCTCCGAAATCCGGTTTGGCTAAAGCAAGCTGGCAGTCTTACTGTCACGCATCCTGAGTAGTCGGTCTCCTACTAAAATCATGAAGGAAGAGAAAATACGAGGCACCAATAGCAAAGTATCGATGGCTCTTTTCAGGGAGTCCCTATGGAGAAGAACCGCACATACTTGCGGTTTGTGCAGCTAGCTTCTATTCATTTTTCTTCCAGAAATTTTACAGAGTGATCATATTGATTTATTTCCAGTCAACAGTCAACAACACCTAGGATTCAGGCTGCATTCACGGGTTTCCAAACTTAGTTGAGCATCAGTGCCATGGGTTCATGTAATGTCGATGAGATGGGAAGTATTCGGTCCCGCGAGAGTGGGGTGCACCCCACGCATCTAAACAGAAATAATTCTTAGCTCTTGAAAAATCAATTTTTAAGTAGTAAGTGACTACGATCGTTAAAGGTGGAAGGCGTAGTGCTGGCACCGGGCCGTCATGGCGATGCGTTTCCAACAGATAGCATTCGTTCTGCTGCCAAACCGTCGGGCCGCATCCAACAATTACGCTGCCGGTAATTAGTGCCTCATTTATTTTCTTCGGTCTATTCCCACTAGTAAAACGAAGCTCCAAGGTCACGTGGACATCTCAGCATAGAACTTAAGCAAATCAAGCATTCCTTCTTTACACATATAACAGTTCTTGCATCTAACCCGAGAAGCCAGGGATTTGGATAACGAACCTACACACTCCTCTGGACATTATCAACCTTCTGCTGAAAAGTCGTTCGCTACGCAATGGATCTGCACAACGATTAGACATCGAATAATCTGCCTAGCGAGGAGAGGTATCCGCGATAGCTCAGAATAAGTGCACCTGGCACTAGCTAGGGAGTTTATGGTATCATTACGTTTCCCAAAAACGCTTTTCGGCTTAGCGAACTCCCCGCTACCTGCCTTCATAATGTTCTGTTTACATCAGGCTGAAAACTATTTAAGAGATGTCTTTGGGAAGCTCACCACACCGAACGGCTTAAGCCGCATCAGGACGATTATGCATATATATGGGGATAATACCTAAGAAATCTCCTAAAAGTAAGTTTTTTGGTATCGGCTATGACTGACGGGCCGTCGGGTAGCACTGGTTAAACGAGGGGAAACTCTACAACACGGAAACGACTGCGCCTAACACAATCTCTAATAGGTTTGTTTTTACGCGGGAGGGAAAAAGGGATGATGCTAATTCAGCGAATGCGTCCCTTCGTACAAAGAATTCAGTGTACTAGAAGTCGTGGCTTCGAAGTCAACCGAAAGAAGAAATAAGTCGGCCCTCTCACAGGCAGTAATCGTCTCTTCCTAATTCCGCTTTTTACTGTAACGCTTGAGTGATCTGAGACCCATTTCTACCGAGTCTGGTGCGTGCGCGTGCGGGCGCCCGCAAGGACCAGCGTTCTAATACGTGAATTAAGCCTTGTCAGCGGCTACGCACACAACTGTTTCCAACCGTCTTGACACTACATTACCACTGGGAGATGGCGGGTGTGGGAAGAAGGTAGGTCGATGGTGCGAGTCATAACTGCGCTAGTGGGCGCAGTTATGCCCGTTGTAGTTTGTGACCTACGAGTTAGCAGTGCGTGTGGCAAACCTCTACGGGGCAAAAAAAACAAGGATAGTACTCAAGAAGGTTGATTTGATAATGGTCCTAATTAGTAAGAAGGCAGTTGGCGAATAGATGAGAATTTCAAAGTCGAAATACCGGCCTGACAGAACATGTGCCACCGCTGCGCATGTTCATAAAGCACCGCGGATGTCAGACCCACGAGAACGCCGCCGACGGCTCTAACTCCATGGTTACCTTAGAGGATGAGTTTCAACATGAACAACAGAGAGAGAGAGAGAATCCACGGAAACATCGACATTATACGAAAAAGGACACTTGAAGTACGCGAATTCCTCAAGCTTCGCACCCACAAATTATGCCAACAGAACGCATTTTTTTTCAAAACAGCCGTGTCTTTATTATACAAAGTATATATGCTCCGAGAAGCACGCCAAAAATAAATGCTTGAGGAAATTTGAACACAGAAAATTGCTCTGCTTCACTGTCCTCGGTGTGCAAAAGAGAGCAGAAGCAGAGGGCGTAATAGACAACTATCTGAAGAAGAACAAAAAAGCAAGACTGGCAGTGGGGCTGCTGCGGCAGGCTTGACTTAGACGTGATGACGTCCGCGCTTTTTGGCACCAGGAACTGAAAGCACCCTCTGCAGACGACTCAGCCCATCGCGACATTGCTGTGGCGATGTGTTAGATCCAGTACCGGCATGGTCCTCATCCCGTGAGGGGCTGCTCTGCGGAATTACAGGCAGATCAGTTCGCTGATCATTAAGACGTGTTCGTTGCTGTTTCCAGGGTGACAAAAAGGGATCAAATTAAAAAACTATGCTACCTGGGAAGAATTTCGCAAAGCAGAGACAGTCTTATCGACGGGTGTAGTTTTTAGCGTTGCCCATACAATAGTCTGCAATGTTGCTAAGACTGGGGTATGCGATGCCCGGAAAGGGTTGTAGTGAATTCGCATTGGACGTATGGCTACACGACGCGTTAGTTCCTTTCGACTAGCTCTCTTATGAACTGTATTAGCTGTGCCAAGTGCAGCAACCACACCCCGGTAATCGATACGATCGACGGGCGAAGCAAAATGCACATGGCCGGGATACCTCTCCAACGCACGTGGGATTGGATGATGGAAGACGCGCCTGGCGCAGTGCTCGAGAAAGCCAAAGTCGCTTCATGACACGCGTAGATTGGTTATTTGCGCCTGGTCATTCACTGTGTACAAATCCACACGCAACTGTTTCGACCTTGTATCACCAAGGACAGACGCTACACAAGTCCTATCCACTAGAATCCAAACTGCTCGAAATTCAACAGTTTCCGCGGGGGCGATCTCGACGAACGAGCTAATTAACTACGTGTCCTCAAAGGGCTCATCGGATCAGTGGAATCGAATGGCTGACGGTTCGGAGGGCTTGGCCGGCTCTCCATTATCAAAGCGTTTTGTGCAAAAGATCTACCAGAATTTTGAGCAAACGGCTGAATTAGCTGGCCTTGAGCCGATGGATTTTTTCTTTCGCTGCCGTGGCCAACTGGCTGTTGTCCGTGAATGTAGGCGGCCTCCTGAGTCGTGTCGTCACCTCAATGCGGGTAGGTTGCACCTGTGCTGCCCTTTTGGGTGGATTAGTCTACGGGCCGTGCGTGCTCGGTATTCCTAAGCTCCGCGTGACCGTTTTTTTCTGGTCATGACGTATGTAGCGACGTAGGACTTCATAGGACATTGGAAGGTCTAGATGCCTCTTGATGGAGTTGGCATTTAAGTACCAAATCTCAAGTGTGAGATGCTCTGCCCTTGAGGTGCCCCGGCCTAAGACGGTGGTTCCTTGAAAGTCAAAACTGTGGCCATTTTCTCCGATGTGAGTCGCAAACTGAGAGTTCGGGTCTAATCTCCGAGTTGTCAGTTTGTGCTCGTGTATGCGAGCCTACAATTTCTGTTTGGTTTCCCCAACGTAGCTGCAGTCTCCATTGCCACAACGGATTTAATAGACAGCTGCCGAGGTTTCAGCGGGTGGCATTGTATCTATGGATTGCATCAAACGGTGACGAATTGCTGCGTGGGGTCGATGGGTAATGCCTACTCTGGCGGATTTTAACAGTCGTGAAACCGCCTCGGAGACTTCTTTAATGTAAAATATGGTCCTACAGACTTCGCGTTGTTCTTGTGGCCGTCGTATGTTCACTCGGCACTTGCTTTGCTTGATAAAATAACTTGGGTATCCATTGGCCCGAAAGATGTCATGAAGTTATTGTCGTACAGCTCTTTTGTCGGCTGACGTGCCGCAGTGCGTTCCAACTCTTTGGAATAGGGTACGGACACAGCCGCGTTTGTGAGAGAAGGGATGCTTGCTCTTGAAGTGTAGTATTTGTCTTGTGTTGGTGTCTTTCCTCTAAACGATAGTTTGCAGTTTCTCAGTTGTACACTGACGCACAAAGACATTCAGGAATTGGTCGTTAGTTTCAGCTTTCATTGTGAATTGGATATTCGGGTCAGCCGAGTTCAGTAATTCTTTAAGGTGTTCCACGTCACATGGTTTGATAATAGCGAAAGTGCCATCGACGTAACGAGCCCAGAACTTTGGTTGATACTTGGTGAACACCAAGTGTTCTATTCGTTGAAGGACCATATCAGCAATCAGCCCCGATATGGGGGAGCCTATGGGGGGAGGGAGGTCTCTATTTTGTCGAAACATTTATCCATCAAAGACGAAGTCTATTTTTAGGCAACGCCGTAAGAGCTCGATCAGATGTTCGGGCTTCAGGGGATTGTCCCTCTCGTCGTATCGGTCTACCAGAAGTTGTCTCACAACGTCAAGCGCTATTGCGGGATGGATCCGAAGAGTGAAACGACATCAAAGGATAGCATGGATTAATCTGGCTCTAATTTTGGATGTTTTAAACGTTCAAGGAACTGATTGGCAGAAGCCACTGTCGTTGGTGAACATTCTGCCAGGAACTTAAGGTCAAGGCAGCGAAAGAAGAAAAAAGGCCATCGGCTCAGGACCGACTAATTCAGCCGTTTGCTTAAAATTCTGGTAGATTTTTTGCACAAAACGCTTTGATAATGGAGAGCCGGCCAAGCCCTCCAACACGCAAGTCATTCAATTCCATTGATCCGGTGAGCCCTTCATATTTATCAGACTATCGACCCGGAGCTCTTACATTTGCTAACCTACACGTCTTTTTTGCATGCTGAGTAGCGTCACTGGACATAAGCAGCAATGTTAGGCGCAGTCTCGAAGAAATACATTTGGAATGGGCGGATAGGCCAGAATTCTCCACAAAGCAGTTGCATACACTTAGAATAGCTGAAGGGTGTAGGTTACGTTAAAGACAAGTTGCTCGGAGTGCAAACAATTCCGATCATGTAACAAATACCTACTTTATCATAGAGACCCTATTCGAACAGGCTAGGACCGCGGTAAACCATCCTGCCAGGTGTTAACAGTCCCTGAAATTTATAGATGGTAATTTTAAAAATATCACCTAAAAACAGCCTTGTGAGTAAAAATTGTGTTAGTGACCCGACTGACCCATACGCAATTAACAGATGTAAGAGACATGAATCCATCGTACTAAGTATGCTAATTTGACGGTCTACTAGGTGCTCTAAAACGAAATGCCTTAGCGGATTAGATGCCCAGACCCAACAATGGACAAAAAAGGTCAATATGGATGTAAAAAAGACAGCTTCGGATCCTTCAAGTACAATCGAAGACATGCCGGTTAAAGAAGTAGTTTGGGGTAGATGTAATAAGTCATAAAACAACTTTTGCTGTCAAATATTACGAGACAAAAAATAAAGTTTCTATGTTTCTACGCCGCGAAAACGTTACGCGCAAAACACGACATTTATTTGCCTCTTACAGCAGTCAACTATCAAAATTAATCCCAAAAGCATAGCACACAGACCACACAAACAGGTATATGTATTCAACCAGCCGAGGCGGAAACGGTTTTTGGATCAAAAATCCTATTTCTCCGACGTCTCTAACTTTCATGAGTCCATTATAAAGCGGAGGCATACAGCGCAGGGAAAATTCAAACACTACCAGAAGTTACCATCAGCCACGCTACTGATAAGTCGATGACCGATTGAATGCCTGTTGACCGGGTTGTCGTTTGAATCTCATGCCTGCCGCAGCAGACATGACGTCCAGCCACTTAATTGGCCCGAAACCGCCACACGATGAAAGCGAAGTTGAGCCCAGAAGATGATTGAATTGCCATCAGAGACAGTTAGCATCTTTGCCTGACAGCAAGTTGGTTTTCGTGTATCGCCTGCGTAACTTGTTTGCCTACATGAGGGTGTGTAATGCAAAATCTGCTGTCAAGCAAAAATACAAACCGTCTTTTATGGCCACTTATTTGTCGTCTCCATGGTACAGCTTCGATTTCGATCGTGTGGTAGTCTCGGGCAAAGTGGGTGACCGGACTTCATATCAACTATTAGAAGCATGATATTTGGACGAAAATCCGGTCAACAGGCATATCGATCTGCCACCGACTTACTATGCGCTGCAGGAACATATCAATAGCGCAGCTGAAGATCACTTACGGCAGTTTTTGAATTTTAACTGCGCTGTGTGCTTTCACTTGAAAATAAGCTAATTTGAGAGTTGGATGCGTAAGAAAAAACGCAATTTTGGGCCTGGAAATCGCCTTGGCCAGGGTCTCCCATACTTGCCACCATTTGGTATACGCGCACTCAAATTAACCTGGAGTCGCAGAATCATCTCGAAGAATGAATCCTCGGAAGAGAGGTCCTCGTTAGCTGCCTGAGTGGAGGCATTCAGGGGCCCCTGTTCTGTAAGGCCATCGCTCGAACTGCGAATGCGCGGACTGAAGAGGCCATCACTACTGTTCGTGTTTGCTGTTGCCGGCGTCCTGATCACCGTTATGGAAGATGGATGCCGATGATGCTGCTGGGTACCAGGCATGTGAAGGTTAGACGTCAGGCCTGATGGCGACCTCCGACGGCCAGCGACTACTGCAGCAGCGGCGGCGTGCAGTTCTGGAGAGATAACGAGACCCGGATAGTCAGGCAGCACGGCGCGCTGATCGTTCATGCGTGCTCCCTAAAACAGTATCAGTAAATCCTCGCAAAGAAAGAATGTGAAGTGCAGAACGAAGGGCTTCATTGCTTTTACCGCTAAAAATTACGACAACAACTACTACAACTGTTGCTGCTGCTGCTACTACTGCTACTACTACTACTAACAGTAATAATAATTGTCGCTATATTTTCCATCTACTATCAACAGTAGTGTTAACAAAAGTGATACGTCGACGTCGATGCAGCGAACATAGGAATATTCTAGGGCTTACAAAGGAACATACTAATGAAATTCTAAACATGACTAAAGGGCACAAAGAACAGGCGGGTCGTACGATAAACCCAATGGGCAGTAACCACACAATATTTCCAATGTCTGAGACGAAATGATGGTTGACATTACAAGCATTGAGTAGGAGTCCGAATTTTCAGGAAACGCAATCGAGGCCCGAAGACGGTTCTGAGATACCGCCGTATAAGGGAAGAAATAGAATATCCGCAAATAATTACAGATTAGATAACCTTATCTACATCTGCAGCAAAGTTATGGAGTAAATAACAAACCGAAAATTTATTTAGTTCGAACAAAACAATCTCCTCTCCGAGTTCCAGAAAGGATTCCGTAGGGGCAGGTACCCTGTGAGCAATTTGCTGTATTGGCCAGAATGATGGACTCGAGCGATTGATAAGGGAAATGTGGTGCACGCAGACTAGATCGAGAAAAGATGGACTTCGGCAGTGTTTCAATTGCGTCTCGTGTACAAGGCCACCGTATACAATTAAGGGGTAAGTCTTTGAAGTGGTTTAAATACATCCGGATCGGTCGATCTCGAAATATTTATCTTGGTGACGTTTCCCGGATTTTTTGCTTTTCTAAAAATGGCATTTCTAAACAACGTCACATTGTCATTAATATTTCTTCTACGTTGTCAATTCCCAAAATGTTTTTTAATTAACAATAAAACTTTTAAATCTGAAAGATAACCTTTCCTAGGGTATAAAATGTAAAGACAATGTGATTTTCTACTAAACAAGTGAAAGAAAGCATAGTTATGTGCATGTTTTCTATAAAATATATTTGAATTTATAAGACCCTCGAAAATCACTGAAAAGTGCACGTTGCTTAAGTCATTTTATCCGAGTGTGGTTTCTGTAGGTCGAAAAGAAGTGCATTCAAAAGCCCACATCCTGGTGAGTCCGAAATATTATAGGATTATGCTGCATGATAATCATTATAACAACCCCACTAAAGTAATCCCTTCTAATGGAGAAAGCACACAGAATTTAGGCCAACATTTCGTGAAATCGGTCACTCACTGTAAAAACGCAGCCTTCTCACCGGACAATAGGCAATTTGCTCTTTGCCAATTATCTTTTGCAAAACTGTAATGTCCTATGCCGTTAAATGCAAAATAATATTGCTCGACAGTATTTATTTTTCTACGTCGGGAATTAAAAGGCGTGAACGTGTATACACGGATTGCGCGCCACATGCTGTCGCCGTGCAACAAATATGTCGAAGAAATTCCTAGCGGAGGTTGACTTTGGCCGCATACGAAAATTGGCAGATGAGGGGCTGCCGCGTGAGTCGATAGCTAGTATTTTTAATATCAGCCAGACTACTCCGTGGAGGATTATGAATAAAAAGCAATGCCTAGAGCTAAGCAAGGTGACCAAAGCAGTTTACAAGTAAGCATGACGACGATTTCATTCATTAAACACTAAAAGTAACATTATATGCCCCTTAAGGCCATTCACAGGGACCATCTGTCAGTGCTTTCTTGGCGCATGGTTAGAAAAAGGATGAAAGAATTGAAACTTCATCAGCTAAACGCCGTGAGGAATCCATTTTTAAGTAAGAAACTTATAGGAAGACGTTTTTCGTTTCCTCAAAATACTTTGATCACAAACTTTCATTTTGGAAAAACATTTACTTTTGTAATGAGATCTTATTTTTAGACAAGCCTCCAAGGTCGGCCGAGATGGTCATATGTGGGAATAACTCCCCACGAGAACACAGTGTATCGACACCCATTTTCAAGAACTGTCCACGCCCGATGGTTTGGATGGCCATCAGACTCGGAGAGCGAGAACTCTGGCATTGAACACTGGCGTTCATCGACATCGTAAGGGATGCCTTCGAGTACAACGGAATTCACTGACGTCGAATGGACACCGCAACATTATAGAATAATGCCCCTGGTTATCGCTTAAAAGAGGTATGATTCCAATTCAGCTTACGAAGATAATCGAATATTTTAGAGCACAGCCAGCCTCTCCGCCTGCGGTCTTTGAAGCGTCTTTATTCCCACCAATAGCCTTGACCTGAGTCCAGTCGAAAATCTTTTTGCATTAATCAAAAGGAATTGGGACAAGGGAAGAAGACATCTTCCAATGCAGCAAAAATTGGATTTTGTACGTAATAATTACATAGACCAAACCACCCTAGACAAATTAGTAGTCTCTGTGCCCTCCCGGCTTGCAGTAAGTTCAGAAGCCAAAGAACAATCTACAAGGTGCAAATACGTCGTTTTTGTTACTACTTTTAATCACTTTGTCGTTGCATGACATGTTCCTCCTCTGTTGACAGTTATATTAGACCTTAAGCAATTGACCTGTAATAAGATCATTTCTTGACTTGGTGTTTGTTCGTAAAATTATCTCTTAGTTAGTAAATAATACTGTATAAATACAACTGTATCTCGTTTTGAAGCTCGCTCGTATCTTAAACGCAGTATAACTTTCGTGGATGCGGGGTGAACGGTGCGTGCGCTACAGCGACTTAGTTCACAGTTCGTGACGCTTAACGAGGTAAATCACGAACTCTATGTGGTATACGTCTTATGGCATTTTGTGCCCCCAAACGGGCCACGTAGTAGATGCGGGACCAACACGGGGGACATTTTGGATTCTGAAAGGCGCTATCGCAATGTGCATTTGAACAAATGCCAACATTTGAGGTCTGCAATGGCGGACCCAGTTGTTGGCTGGCGTCGCTCACAATGGAACCCCTGCCGCTCCCTGTTGTCGTTGTGAGTTAAAACCCTGGTCATTTGCTGTACGGGCCAGAGGGTGTGGAGTGGAGCGCCGAGGTGCGGGCTCGGAGGTTCCATCCACCGGTGTCCTCCCCCGCCTCCGGTCTTCTTGACTCTGTCTTGGCACCGGGCCCAGGTGGGGAAGGAGGGAGTGTGGTAGATGTAGTGCAAGCCTACCACCACTATAAACTAGCTCACGCACAAGTCACCGTCCCCGCTCTCACCTCACGGTGGACAACGTCGACGACGGTCGAACTATCGAGAGCACGACGTTTGTTGCCGCCAGTAACAAGTTGGCGGGCGGAAGGAATGGGATCGACTGAGATCCAAACCACAACAGTGAGGGTCACGCGCTAACTTGGCATATATATATTATGATATGGTGCCGACAAAGACAGGCGAGACCGCAATGGCCATTTCTGGCTTATTAGCCGTCATACCCAACCCCGAGTGTGGATCACTTGAGATTCGAACCTGGGATCTTTAGTCATGGAGTTTGACACTCTACCATTGAGTCACGGGCCCGTTGTCTTGTCGGTTGTGGTCGGGAATATCAATTATGGCAGTGGGCGCTTACCGATCAGGTTACGAAACATGCTCGTTCCGTTGTGCCTTGGGGCTCATACTAGAACCCTCGCAGGCAGTCTCACAGCGACTAGTAGTCGACATAGATGAGATGGTGCCGACAAAGACAATGGAGACTGGAATGGCCATTTCTGGCTTATTAGCCGTCGTCAGCCAGTCCTACCCAACCCCGAAGTGTGCGCTCGTGACTCAGTGGTTAGAGGCATAAACTTCTAACTAACAAGTCGCGAGTTCGAGGCTCGGGTGTTCCACACTTAGGGGTTGGGTCTGACTGGTTGACGACGGCTAATAAGCCAGAAATGGCCATTCCAATCTCCCTTGTTTTTGTCGGTAATAACATACTGCCTATATCATGCGTCGCTGTGCGGCTGCTCGAAAGAGAGCCCATAAGTCACAACGGAACGAGTGAGTTTCGTAAGGACGATCGGTGAACGCCCCCTATCATTGTATATTCGCGATCGAAACCGACAGGGCAACGGGCTCGTGGCCCAGTGGTTAGAGGCGTGGACTTCTAACTAAAAGCTCGCTATAAAGCTTACAACTCACTAAACGTGTCTTTGCTGAGTTCGACGAAGGGGGCTTCGGTGAGGTAGCAGGGATGTTCGTGCGACCGCAACTCGTCTTTAATTCGAGCTCGGTGACCGTGGACTGTCAACGACCGCAGCGCTCTTGGAAAGGTCCAAAGACATGCAACCAATTTAGCCCGTTGTCAGGGCTCACTGACTTAAGAAACACGGTTGTCCCATCTCGACCTCCTTTGGATTACAGACAGTTACGGGGCGACCTTATACAAGCGTTTCGCATATGGCGGGTTAGGAGTGTTGCCTTGCATTCGGCGACCCCATCGAGTTGGTCACCACTATTAGCTTGCGAGGGCACCCTCTCGAGTAACATGTGATTGGGGCGACAGAACGCAAGTAAGTTTTTATCCTCCAACAGAGAAATTGAGGCTTGGAATGTTCTCCCTGAGGACACCGTCATGCCCCAATCCATAGATATTTTAAGAAAACATGTTGACCAGTACAGCCATGAGCACCACCAGGCCATCAAAACTTAGCGTGATTCTGTCCCTGAATCATCCTCCCGGAAAGTTAAACACTACCAAACATACTATTCGGTGCGTTGCAGTAGTTGTTTTTGAGTACACTTCGCTAAACAACTAGACGCAAGACCGCATCACTCAGGACACTTGTTTATGTGTAAGTGTTCACTGACATACTATTTAACACGTTTCAGTAAAACATTTTACCACGTGAACTATTTTGCCCTACCACACACCTGACACATTTGCAGTTTAACAAGGCTTTACCCGTAATTTTTCTCGTAGCACAGTAAACTGTACAAATAGAGAGTTCAAAGGCACATGCCTATACTTTACCTCAAATAAGATGAATTAAGCTCAGTTAGGGGAGTTGAAGAATAACTCACCTGAAGTCCAATAAGCAAGTCCAGGAAAGAGTCATCTTCTCCAATAGATTCAGCCGAATTTTCCACCTGGTTATCATCCAGTGAACAACGCTGGTCGTTCATGCGCTGAGATTGAGAATGGACGAGCAGGTCAAAGAGGAGCTCGGCCGAGTCGCCAAGGCTCGAGGGATGTGCCCGAAAACCATTTGTGCCGTTGTCTTCAGTCTGAGTGGCAAAAATCCACAAGATTGCGTAAACAGTTGGGAGTAATACGCAGTTATCCCATTGAAACTGATGGATTTCGGTTCAAACATCTCTACGAACCTTCGATCCGAGTCAGAAAGGGTTTATTCCGGAGGATTTACCTCTCAGAAAATTAAAAAGTCGAAAGTAAAAACTGGTGTACCTACCAGAAAGTATATCGGGGAAGCTGGGGGAACCGCCTTAGATGCGTCATGAAACGGCAGAAGATCGGTGAAGCATGTGACTGAGCTTTTAGCTGCTATCTGTGCTGCCAGAATGGAAAACCACGCAAAATTTGTAAAAATCAGTCTGTCGTTTCACTACTATGAAACGACGTTAAACATCCCAGAAATCACTGCATCTGCGTCTCTTCGCATGCTTGCCGCCTTCTGCTTTGCTGTTCACAAAAAGGCTAATTTAGAGTACATTCGTTTACATCTCACTGTGACATTAAAAACAAGAAAACTTCTAATCCGGGAAGGTGGACAGACACTGTATTTACCTTCTCTCTGCACTGTCGACAAGTATTGTTAACAAATACAGCGGAGATCGGAATGGTCATTTCTAGCTTCGCTTCCGTCATCGCACGTAAACCCCAGGCCGGAACGACGGGAGATTTTAATATGGTCTCAATCACTCGTTGAGCAGAAATGGCTAAGATCGTGAAGCAGTTTAACGGGTAGAGGGAGGTTAAAAAGCAAGGCTAGGTCAGTTTGATGTCCACCAAAGAAGTTATTTCCGCGAAATGTTAGATATGATAAGAATACGCAAATTAAAGCGGTTTGAGAGTGCAAGCAAGAAAGGGCAGACGTACAGGGAGATGAAGGGACGACGGCTGACACGGTTTGGACTCCGAAGTGCTAGCTGCATCTGAGCAAAAGAAAAAAGGTAGGAAAATCAATAATGTGTTCAGTTAATGCAGATCAAGTGGACGAATACACCGAAAACTCGTTACCACCCATAATAAAGGGGGGCTCTATTCCTCTGTTGACAAAGGGCCGTAAATAAAAAACGAAAGGAAAGTACACAAGGTAAATGCGTAACTGATTTTGCAAATGCTAACAGGCAATTTTACCCCAACGTTGAAAATCCGACATAGAAAAAATAAACGAAGAGCAGATGGCATACGCAGGCTCTTGATTCTGCACAAATTGTGACAAATCTAAGCCAGGTGAAGCGATTAATTTCAATAACATGGACAAACCTTTAAGTGGAGCAAGAAAAGTCCCTTGTGTGGTTATTAGAAGGCCCAGACTGATTAATGCATGGGAAGACCCACCGCATGCGTATCAGGAGCAAACCGACAAACTTCAACCTACTTTTAGTTCAAAAGTAAGTTCTAAGGTGAGTGCCAAGTTCGTCATTAACTAGGCTTGAGAACATCATAAACAACATTAAGGTAAATCGAGCATGATCGGATGCTAAAAAAGCGTGAGAGTAAAGATCCCCGAGTGGAATGACCGTCAACTGCAACGGAAACAATACTCATCTATGTTAGTAGCACTAACATTGCCATATGCTTTGCCGAAGGGGCGACGGAGCACTTGCCACTGAATATAAAAGGCCTTTTAGTGAACTGCAGCATTTAAAATTCTGTGGTGTTAAAAAGGGCAACGGTCAAAACTACAAAATTTCCGACGTATACGGTGGCTTACTTTCCACGTAATCCGCAGTCTGCTGCAGCTGGTCCTCTTCGCCCGTGGTGACTACCACAAAGTCCGACTCCAGTTCCCCACCTAGTGACAGCAGATCTCCGTCCTCGTCAATAAGAGCGCCGTCAGCGAAGGTCACAGGGGTCACGGCCGTCCCCGTGCCGCCTCGGAACTGCAGAGCGACGTTGCGTGCTAGAGCAAGTTCCGATTCTAATTCCTCTTGACTTAAAGGCGTCGTCTCCTCTTCTGTAACACCAGTCGCATCCACCTCAGCCTTCATTGTTGTACACCTCGAAGTAGATGCTACGAGCGCCGGCGGCAGGAAGTCGCAGGTAGTGACGGTAGCGGAACTGGCGGCTGCGGCGGTGGTGTGTTGCTGGTCATCGAACAATAAAACCTGTTGGAGGGCGTGCGCGGCAGCGGCTTCCTGATGCTGCTGTCGTTGCGACTGACAGACACTGTTGTCATCCCCAACCGCGGACTCGGAGCCGAGGATGCGCTGTAGTTCGTTGGTCATTAGTTCTGCTGCAATCAGACCGACCTCGTCTCCCAACTGGACAAAAGAAATGGAGGCGCGGGAAGGACATTTAAACACACACGACAGTTAGACTGTTGTGACCGACGATGTCCACTGTGTGCTCCACAGTAGGGTGAGAGCAGGAGCGGTGACTTGTGCGTGGGCTAGTTTAGTGTGGTAGTAGACTTGCCCAGCATCTGCCGCACTCCCTCCTCTTCCCTCACCTGGGCCCGGTGTCAAGACATAGTCAAGAAGACCGAAGGAGGGGGCGCAGGTGGCTGGCACGGCCGGACCCGCACTCAGGCGTACGGCCACACCCCCTATTCCGCAACAAACACTTGATGAGGATTTTAACCAACGACAAGAGCGGGGAGACGGCTTGTATCCCAGTTGGCGCGACATGGGTCGGCCACCGGACCTGCCACCTCATCCCGAATGTTGACGTTGGCCGTGGGTGTTTATTCCCGATAATGCCTGTCAGAATCCGATATGGCCCCCGTGTTGGTCCGACGCATCTACCCCGTGGCCCGTCTTAGAGGAACTAGGGAGCACACACACGTGACTTCAGCCGTCGCGAACGACGATGCCCGCCGTGTATTGCATGAAATTGTGGGCATAGGACGTCGATTCATGAAGCATATGCTGCACTTTCTTCTTCATTGCCTACCTGTGCCCAGTGGCAAGACAGAGTCAGAACGATCGAAGGCGAGCCCGGATAGAGTGGCCGACAAAGTTAAACACCCGCCGCAGACGAGGCTATCCACCTTGAGCCCCACAGCAGAAAAGGTGAAGGGATGGCGACGTGTGCATGAATTAAGTGCCAGTGATGTTAGATTTGCGCTGCATCTGCCGCATTCTCTCGGTCAGCGCTCTTCTAACACAAAGTCATACAAATAAATGCGTACGGTTAGCAGAACCAAATAGAACTGCTAGACAATATTGGCAGAAATCAACCGTTACTGGGGGCATGCGTTTTGGAAAGCTAGACGTTCCAGGAAGTAGTCGGGAAGAAAGGGACGCGATCTCTAGAACAATAATTTCGTATGTTGGTGTTTTTGGTAAATTTGAACAATTCATCTGACCCAACTGTAAATTCGAATACCGCCGATGCAGCCGAGTTTCTCACAATTGGGTCCAATGTATTATTTACATTAGCCAAAACCAATTAGTTAAGGGAGCCTGGTTGTCATCTAGTGGATCCTACATTGATTGCTTATGAAATCCTTCTTGGGCAGTCAGCTTACGGTACCAGATTTGGTGGATTTCATAAGCTGCAGTAGGCCGGGTGGGTAACTTGACCTAGATGTACTTGAAGTCACAGCTGTAGGTGGAGCCTCGCAGCTGAGGTGGGTAGAGCGTTGGCTGCACTTAAGTCTCGCCCTGGCTGTCTCGGTTTAGAATCCTATCGAGGTAATCGAATTTTTAGCCATTGGGTCAAATGAATAGTTCTGTTCGACTGATACTTTGGATTTATACTGGAACCCATAATCCGAAACAGGATAAGATAAAGGTAGTGTTTCACACAGGTATTGCAGTATTTATAGGATACAGTCGCTTTCCCACTACATGCCTATTAAGGATAGGCAGCATCTGAATTCATCGCAGATGGTTGCACATGCAGCGTTAATTGCCTGATTGCCCGCAGCCGAGTCGTTACTTGTAGCAATTTCATTACAGCACAGACTGTGGAGGGAGGTCATGGCGCCAAGTAATCGTCAGAGAGCCGAAAAACCATCACTTATGCAGGTCGCGGCACACGCGGTTGTCGCCCCTCGCAAGGATTTCGGTCTCAGCAAACGTTCAGCGTTCCCGTACATCAAGAACGTCTCAGAAGCCGTCAGCCGCCAAATCAAACCTCTTAGATTTGGGGTTGCACGAAGACCGGGGCAACCATCAAGCGCCCGATCAGGGGGCCAAAAGACCCACTGACACGGCAGTAAACGTCTGGAGTCGTTTAATGGATTCGGTGAGGTTGCGCGCCAGGCAATTATGTAGGAAAAGTTGGAAGACTTCTCTGAACGCGGATGGTTGAGCACACAGCAGCAGCGAGGAAAAGCGACACTAGCCCCCAAGTTACGGCTCATTTAACGGAGCACGGTCACACATTCAAGTTCGATGCAACCGAGATTCTTGAGAGATGACAGTTGTGTGGGCTGTGAGCAGCTCGTGTCCCGGTTTTCCGGTCCTTTGTCGACTAGCAAGCGCAATGACCTCCTTCACATTATGTGCTGTGATTTTGCCCATGAAGAGTAATTAGCCAAACGAGGAGTGCGCGGGTAAGCACAGCGCCTAGTGTTAGTGGTGGCAAGCCAAATGGCTCGAGGACCCACACGAGTGACGGAATTGTTACAAGGCTCAGATTTCCGACAATCAAGCAATTATCGCACAACGTGCAACCATCTGCAATGAATGTGGATGCCGGCAATTCCGATAGATATGCAAAGGGATAGCAATTGCATCCTATAAATGCTTAAATACTTAGAGTTGTGAAAACTCCCATTCAAAAGGCAATTTGGCGAGCATAAGTCTGCTTTCGATAAATTCTCTTCAGGTCTGTACATTTATAGGGCTATTGAAGTAACTAATTATAAGGTACGGGCAAGTAGATAATTAAGCTGTAACTCGGGTTTGGGGAGGGGATGAGAGGGGGAGAGTAGAACACTACAATTCCAGTCAGCGCCACGGAGAAAATGAGTCCCGGCGAAGGTAATTACATGCGGGTGGCTGGCTTGGTGGCTTTGAACCATGACAACTGTGGGACCTGTGTGAAGTTCTTCTGTGCGCATAGGACCGGTCCGCGTAGCCTGATTGCAACCGCCTCTGCCGTAGTCAAAAAGCGCTGCCCAAGCAGTTTTGAATAGCTTGATGGGACCTTGTAAATCACTCTGAAGGCCTCTCTCGTGTCTACACGGTGGTCTGTGTCTACCATGTGCGCGAGGATCGAGCTGTTGATGTTCTTTATTTGACCCCCCCCCTAGCCATGCTGGAAGATGTTCTATTATTCTTTTGAATAAACGCCGGCTCGTGCGACCAATATTTTCTGCCCCACAGGAGCAGGTGAAGGAGTAAATTCCCATTGAAGAAATCAAAAGACAATTCGGCAAGCATACGTAAGCTTTCGATAAATTCTCATCAGGCCAGCAGAAGTTTTTCTGTAGGTGGGGTTTGGGGGGAGGGCTTGGGTGGGTGAGGTGGAAAACAAAATTACCGTCAGTGTCAGGGAGAGGGGGATGGCGGGCAGTGGGACGGATAATTATACGTAGGTGGCTGGCATGGTGGCTTTGGGCCATGGTAAGTGTGGGGCCTGTACGAAGTTCTTTTGTGCGCAGAAAACTGGTTTGTATTACCTGATTGCAGATTAAATACTTGTTCAAAATATAGCTTTTACCTGACCATATTTCCGATGATAAATTCCAAAGTGAATCGGAAGCGTCAGGCGAACAAAACTATTGTTTCAGCAATTGCGTCTCCTTCTTCGCAATCTTAAGACATGGTTTGGGCAAATCGGGCACCCATAAATGGGTCGGAAATCATGCCGATATCGGTAGATAAGGTGGTGCCGACAAACAGAGGGGACCGGAAAGGCCATTTCTGGCATATTTGCCGTCATCATTGGGCGCTTCTGTATCATGACGATATTACTAAATAGTGAGTGCTTTCCGTCACCCATAGGGGGTCCCCTCGACGTCCGGCAAACTCCTGGAATTTCGAACAAGTAAAGGAGCAGTGGATGGAGGGGTCCACCATCGAACTGAAGAGCTGATGGAAAGCATACCCCCACCAGGCCGCCTCGCGCAAAGGCTGTACTAATGATTTATGACTTAACCGCAATTTGGACGACCAGAGGGGTGTGGTGCGCACTAGATTTACAGAGTCAATGGCGCGGAGCGGAGCAATTTCCTGTCTAACAACAACAACGGCATACGCATGGAGAGATCGCAAAGGACGAGAACCACTGTTCGTGCGGTAGCAGAATATGGGTTTGGGACTACAGGGGTCATTCAGTGGCAGCGCTGACAAAGCCAGGGTGGGCAACGTACTTGTATGATTATTTTTCCTTGAAACTTATTTACAGGATGCCGATTTTATATTCCATAAAGTAAGTCATCAATGACATAGATTGGAAAGATTCCGGGTGACAAGAATTGGCGATGAAAATTAAAGCAGTGATGTGAATGGACATATCTCCTCCGAGCCCTACAGACAAAAAGCTCACTATAAGGTACAATCAGGAAGTTAATCAAATGGAGCGGACTGCTGACCTCCTTCGCGATTTTGCGATGACGAAGACAGCAGCGATAGGCGCGCCGGTAATCGCCTAGGGCAACGTAGGCATTAGCCAAAGACCACTGGGACCGACCCTCACCTAGGCGATCACGTAGGCGCCAGGCGATGTGTAGATGGCGGAGGTAGTATACAACTGCGGCTGAGTAGTCATGCAAGAGGGTGCAGCTATTGCCCAGACTGAAGCAGGCCTGCGCCTGCAGGGCTTCATCGCCTAGACGCAAAGCGATGGCCAAAGCATGCCTGCAAATTAAACGTGCGATTTGAAATACACATCCTAAGGTCAGAAACAGTCATTTATACAACATACGTACTTAGAGTAGGTGACGTAATTCATGAGATAATAAACAAAGTCCCGAAATGCGACTTCAGTTAGAAAGAATTATCTAGGTGGAGTTTTACTATTGGGTGTCACACAGCATGATATCAAGATATGCCAGTCACCCCAGAATGCCGACTTTTGAATGCCCGTCATTCCGATCGTACGCAAAAATCGTGCGCGTTAAAAGTGGCCACTTAAGTCAAATGGGCTTTTTATTGATTTTCGATTCGCTTGTAAATCCAGCCTTGGTGTTAAGATATCTATGAATCCAGCTTCCACCTCAATTTTGTTGCTCAAAAGGTGCCTAGATGCTTGAGAAAGTGCGCAGTCTATGAGTGAGAGAACGGGAGGATATAGAGTACATGGCAAAGTCTCGTATCTCAAGTCATTGAATTTGTGTTGTTTCATCGCGGCAACATGTGACCGTGAGCTGTCGTGGGGCAGAACTGGGCGACGTTGAATTACTAGTGCAGGTATCATTTTTCCCAGATGAACCTGCATTTATTCGAGTCGCTTGTAGCAAACATCTGTTGTGATGCTCTTATTAGTATCGAGAAGGCTACAATAGCGGACCACCAGACTGTCGCCATAATCTTCTACTGTTGCAACTTCAGTTTCGGGAAATTCTTAGGTGTTTCGTCACGAGCATAGTCGATTACGGTTATCACTAAGGTTTCACTTTTCGCCCAAAGCCAGTACTCGATAAAGAAATGAATGATTATAGTTTCGCACAGAGAGCACCGAACAGGATTTAAAATGCCGAACCCTTTAATTTTCACTGAGCTCACGTGGGACCCATTTATCGAGTATTCTCACTTTACCAATTTGCATCAGATGGTAGGACATAGTTGAACTACTGATATAAATTGCTTCAGTTCTGTGACACCTTAATGTGGGTTTTCTTTAACGATTACTTTCAGAAGTTCATTGTCAAGAGTGCGTGGCAGTCACCCACCCTCTTCATCTTCAAGGTTCTCATTGCCACTACGGAATTTCTGAAGCTACCGTACTGTCCGACCACCTGTGGAACTTTCTCCCCATGCTCTTTTGATATTGGTAGCTATTTGGGAAGCATTACGACCGAATTTGAACTCATGCAAAAAAAGTAAACATATTTCTTCTTTTTTAACCTTTGTTATCAAGGGTTCATGTGCTTCAAGATTGTACTCTAAATGGAATGAAATAAATGCGTACATATAAACTACTGGGCATGTAGACTTTTGCACAAGACATAGAAAAAAGAGCAATGACTTTCAATTTTTAAAGGCCAGTTGAAAGATCAGCCAGCATTTTCCGAACAACCTAATACGTGTGTGACTTTTGTAGACGGTCGGGAAGGCGGGCATTCAAAAGCCGGAATTATAGCTTAACTGAGATATCTTGAGATGATGCTGCAAAATAATAAATATTACAACCCCACCTAGATAGCCCTTTCTAACCAAAATGACATCTCAGAATTCCGGTTAACGTTACGAAATATAAACCACTTATCGTAAGAACAAATGGAAGAAAAAAACTATGCCAACCGACTTATTAAACAAAACGAAACATCCATGTGTAAAGAAGAGAGATTGGAATAGCCCTTCCTGACCCAGGTGACCTCACTAACCGGAAACAGCCCAACTCCGGACTGAAAAAACCCGAGGACTTGAACTGTGATCTACTTTGCCAGGATCTCACAATCTGTCAGTTGCGATCTGGAATGTGCAAAACTCCTCGACAGCGGCGTTTACCAGTCTGTCCAGATTACAGGATGGAATGAGGCAGATAGGAGTGACGAAGATGGACTGGTGAATGAGTCTCGCTTGTGACTTTAAAGACAACGAGTGAGTATGAGGTGTTATGAGCTGCTTGGTGAATGACTCCAAAGGCAGAGGCTGAATTTTCATCGAAAATTACGCTTAATCCCAGGAACCCGTCCGGATAGCGTTCACAAACAAGACCATAGTTTCCGGCGAACACTGACAGAATGGATTAGATTGGGGCTTGAAGTGTGGCTAAAACCCCTTAAAAACGACCAGAGCATCTGGAGCGCTGTACATGTACGTACTTGTAACTTCTTGCAGCAAAAAGGAAATCTGAGAGGAAAATGTAGCTGTTTCCCAGGTTACTGTAGGCTCTCCTTTGGGCCGGCAAGTCACCGAACTCCTTGGCTATCCGAAGGCGCTAAAACGGGTGGACACAAAAAGATACTGCAGAGTAGGTCATGACACAGAAAATCTTAAAATAACGAAAATGAGTAAAAATGCTACCTCTCGGAAACGAGGGAGTTTAAGCACAATGTATCAACTATGGGCATGGGCCGCAGTACAATTGACAAGGAAATAAACAGGCTGTACCGATCAATTCTGATCGCAGGACGAATGTGGGTGTTTCCGGATCTATAGTCCCTGCAGGCGGTCGCACGACAAAGAGCAGCATACAAATAGGGCTGAGATGATCATTCATGACTTATTTGACTTCGCCAGTCAGCCCTTTGAGGATCAAGCTTCATTCAAATTATGGCAGGAAGCATCGATCATCAATAAATCCAATTTATTTTGTTATTCACACAGGCCGTATAAGAGAAATCTGGTATTTCATCAAGACTGGGGAATTTCAATAGAACAAAAATAGTTCAATGGGCATGGTCTTCATCTCTAATTGTAGTCTCCTACGCCCTGTAAAACTAAAGTATGCGAAGGCGCGTGCTCGATGGGTTTCCTCTGTCTTCACACGTGAAAACTTCCCAATGAGAATACTGAGAGGAATAGGCAGGGTCACCTTCAGCTATCATAGGCGATGCACAAATGTGAGATTTTGTACCATGGAACAAGGGGAAACATCGGCACGCACAGCCCAAAAGGTACGAAAAATATAAACAGTCGCTTTTGTTCGTTGAACAGATGTTTTTTGTTTCCGTCTCGGATTTGGATGTAGCTGTGGTGGCGAAAAAGTGTAAATGCCATTTTGGGACGTAAATTAAAGCAAAAACTTCATATTCAGCATTATCAATTCTTCTTTATTAACCTAAAGGGTAAAACGGTTCAGGGTTGAGCGTGCGTTCAAATGGGAATCAAAGTTGACTGGTTCAGAGTGTGGGGGGAGAGAAGGGATTTAGGCCAATAAGAGCATAAGTCCGTCCAATCTAACGCGAATCCTAAAATGACTTGTCTACGAATTCAGAAAAGCAGATCAAGTGGGACAAACTGTGAGGAAACGCGTGAAGATGCGTGACTGATCTAACTCAATTTCCCACAGGAAGCCCGACTCCCTAACGGGATAAATATGGGGTGCAGTCAGAGAAAGTAAAACAGTAAGATATGTAGATGCAAAGAATGAAACGATAAAAAGGAAAAAACAGCACTAGAAACAGCGAAGGACTTCGAGACACTTAGTGACGCTGGAATAGTGCCGGAAAGAATGCAATCACTTGTCAAACCGAAACCTAACAGGATAGTTCACGGCGCTCAGGACCAGAGTAAAGTACACTAGATGTACCATCTTGTGACATGTTACTTACATTGGGTTGTAATATTGGGGTGTAGGGGTGTCAGCGGTGGGTTCACGTGATGGTCGAAGTGGTCGCTCACTTGCTTGCAGGTGAGACTATGCCTAGCATCCACTTGCTGGCACTCAACTCTCACATGTGGCTCCACGTAGCTGGGCTCTGCTCAGCGGCCACACCCCGGGCAACCGTCTCGACCGGCGGGCTAAACCAGATGAGGGTATCCGTGCGTGCACCTGCACACTCGGTACTGTGGTCACCACTGGCCGGATGGATCTTCGCGTCGACATCGTGGAGACGAGGCTCTGCCTGGACCATGGCAGGAGGCCACCAGGTAAGTGATTCTGCAGGTAAGTGAATTTGCTTTGTTCCTTCCTTTTGTTTGTTTAATTTCCGTGTTGTATGTTGCTTTTGTTGCCTCTGTCTATTAATAGCTAGATGACACTGTTTGATTTAGAATGATGCCATTCCTAACTTGTCGCACTCCCCTTCTTATTTGCCTGCTTAATTCCAGCTGTCTGTCGCTCTTGATGCCAGCTGCGACTGTCTGTCTGTCTGTCAGTCTATGCCTCTCTCTGCTAATAGCTAGATGCTACTGTGCTTGATTTTGAAGGATGCCCTCTCATTTCTGTCTTTGACTGATGACTTGTGTCTGCTTGTCCACTCTAGCTTTAAGTCCCATAGCGTTCTGCTGGTGTGTATGCTCTCTCCTACTTAACTCCACATCACCACCAAGGTCTCAGGCTAATTCGGGACGTTCTCTAACAAAAAGTCGTGGCGCATAGTGGAGTCCGGCAGCCGTCTAGGATAACCGGGCAGCCCTATTTAGGGGGTGCGCTGCCTGCCCTCGCGAGGGGGAGGGGGCTAGAAAAGGTACCCTAAAAATTGCTGGGAACCACGCTGTCTGTAGGCTGGCCGTGGCCGCAGACAAAAAACACACGGTCGAAACAGCCAAAACCGAAACAACAACAACATCTCTCTTCCTCTTCCAGCCTATTCTCCTTCTTCCCCTCCTACCTTTCGCCGCCGCAATCGCCAGACTGGCAGGGTGAGTCCGCTCACTCTGGCAGCCTGGAATGTTCGTTCCCTTTTAGACAATCCGAGGAGCAACCGACCGGAACGGAGGACGGCGCTAGCGGCTCGGGAACTGGCGCGCTACAAGGTGGACATCGTCGCACTCAGCGAGACTCGATTCTCCGAACAAGGCCAACTGGAGGAGGTGGGTGCCGGTTACACCTTCTTCTAGAAAGGTCGACCGAGGACAGAGCGACGAGACGCGGGTGTCGCCTTCGCCATCCGGAACGACATAGGGGACGACTGCCCTGTTTGCCGCAGGGCATCAACGATCGCCTGATGAACCTCCGCCTGCCTCTCCGGCGAGGAGGCAAATTCGCCACCATCATCAGCGCCTACGCTCCGACGATGACCAACCCCGACGCCGTCAGAGACAAATTCCACGAGGACTTGCACGCCCTCTTGGCGACTGTGTCGAAGGCGGACAAGTTGATTGTCCTTGGCGACTTCAACACCCGTGTCGGCACAGACCATACTGCCTGGAGAGGAGTGCTGGGTCCCTACGGTCTCCGCGGCTCAAACGACAATGGTCTGCTACTGCTTCGCACCTGCGCAGAACACCGCCTCATCCTGACGAACACGTTCTTCTGTCTGCCGGAGCGAGAGAAGGCCACCTGGAGGCATCCTCGGTCGCGTCAGTGGCACCTGCTGGACTACGTCCTCGTCCGGAGGCGAGATCAGTGGGACGTGCTGGTGACGAAGGCGATCGCGGGTGTTGACGGGTGGACCGACCATCGCCTCGTCATCTCGAAGATGCGTATTCGCCTACAGCCTCGCAGGAGACCACAAGGTAAGCGACCCCCAGGTAAGCTGAATGTTGCTTTGTTGTCTTTGCCCGCTCACCACCTTCATTTCAGCAATGAGCTAGCTCAACGGCTAGACAACCTTCCTATCGCTGCCGCCGACGACGCCGCCGCTGC